ACCCAGACCATGCAATTCAATCCTTGCAGAATTTTCGTCATCACTGCTTGAAAGTGTCCCGTTGAGTTGAGCATCCCTTGCGGGACGCGGTTTGGCTTAAATAGCCCTCCCGGTGTCACGATAGTAAACATTCTACGCGCGCTCTCAGCTAACGGCATCTGCCAGTACCCTTGCAGCAGATCAAGTTTCCCGAAGCATTCCGCGCCCTTTAACATGGACATCTGTGCCTCCTGGTTGGGCATTACGTTTGGCACCCTTTCACATTGCCGATTCGCCCGAGAGTAATCACTCATAAGACGATACTCACCCGCACGGCCTGGCTCTGGCACCGTCATAGCCGGGCTCACCCAGACCGCCTGAATAGTCCGTACGACCATACCGTTGGCAACCAGGGCCACCATGCATCCAGTCAACCACGTAGCCTCTGCGGGGGAGTAAACACGTGCCTTCGCCTTGACAGGTTGAGAGCCAGGGATGAGAGTCACCTTCAGTGGCTCCATCTTCGCCGGAGGGTCCCCCCGGAGCGCCCGACGGAACGTACCAAACCGCCGCCCAAGGATTGCTTTCAGACGCGTCACAACCGCCGACGACAAGCTGTTCCCTGAGACCTGTTGAACCGCGTGATCCAGAGCTACCTTCCGCTGGACCTCCTCTTCTTCCGGGGCCATAGGCACGTTGGGCTCTCGAGAAAACGCCCGAGTCACAGCCTCATTATGAAACTCCACCGGTTCTTCTTCGTTGTTATGCTGCAGCGCCTCTACCGCCACAACAAGACGCCGGCATTCATGGAACGCCGGGTTCTCCACCCCCTTGACGGAAGCGATAGCTTTCTGCCGCGCATGGGCGGCATGACTGCCGTATACATCTATCCCCAATTTCTTCAGGGTTGCTCCTCCCAGCAGGATCGTGTCGTCCTCGCCGGGCATGACGGAAAAACGGAATGGCTCCAACACCACCGGACCCCACTCCGTGTGCAACGCCAGCCGCAACGGACGTCGTTGTAGGCACTAAACTGCCGTCTGCCATCCGTACATGATGCGCACCCTCCATAGGATGCGTGACCGAAACACTAGGAAAGCATGCTTGTAACTTGCGCGCGACGCGCTCAGACATTGACGTCGAATCTGACCCACAGTCGAGCACCGCACGCACCGGGCACACCGTAGACTCAGCTGCTTCCGGGAAAGACAAATGAGACAAACACCACGTTCCACTGCGATCCACATCGACACCTTCGTCGTGCAGGCTCGCGACGCTATCCATGGACTGGGACCGCCACGCCGGAACCGTCGTAGCGTGAGGCGACTCCGTAGTCCCTTGAACGGGAACAGGCGGCGGGGAAAGTGCTGCTGCCACCCCATCGCCCCCACCTTGCTTCTGCTCCTCCGGAAAATCGGCCAAACTCTGCACGGTTGAACCTGGCTGCTGACCCGCTCGCTGCTGACCCCCCTGCTGCTGCTGACGAGGTCGCGCCGACGACTTTCCAGACTCTGCCACCGCTGGCGCAGGTTTGCCCCGAGACTTCTCAGACGATGCCTGCTTGCAGTCTCGAGCGATATGGCCTGGCTTGTCACATACCCAGCAATTCCCAGAAGAGTCGGACTGGCCACCGCGCCCACTGCCGGAATGCTGACCCCGCGCCTTGTCAGCCGCGCCACCACGAGCGGCCTTGTCAGACTTATCGCCAGCAACACGAGCTCCGCCACGGGTTTTACGTTCCGCGTCACGGTTTTGACGCTCCGCATCTACCTTCTCTGTTTTCTTCCAGTCAGCGGCCTCCTTGACCATCACAGCTAATACGCGCCCAGGCTCCGTCGTCCAATTTCCTTGGAGCTGCAGATACCTCTCCACGTTTACCTTGAATTCTGGAGGCGAATTTCTTTCACCAGAGCCTTGCTGACTACGTGCGCCGACTCTTCGAGCCAGTCGTCGTGGGCGTTGCGGTACAGCCGCGCCACATTCGGGTTCTCTGCCAGGTAATATTCCAACGCGCTGTGAACAGCATATACTCGTTCCAGCACCGTTGCCGGGCGCCACCACGCGTTCATACTCCGCGTACCGAAGGAGAAACCGCCTAGATGCAGCAGCGGACAGCGTCTTCCCATATTCGGGTGACTCCTGGGTGGAGCCGAGCACTACCCCGGTCACACTCACCCGAGTAGGACTCGCTTCGCCGTCCGCGGCACGGCACTGCCGCCGCGTCCACTTCTGCCTCGCCCTGCCATCTCCTGACCACTCTTCGCGACCAGGAACTTTTCTCTTGTCGTTGCAGCTCACCTCGCCACAACCCTAGCAGACTCTCACACCAACTTCGATGCGAGGTACGTACTCCAGTCCGCTGCTGCACAACTTGAAACCTCTGACCGATCTTTGAAGAGACCGCGAGATAACCTAGTTAATGTGGAACCCTCGTCCAATCGAGGAAGTTTGTTTGTGCTCTGAGGGGCCCTCGTGTTAGTTTCCGAACCTCAGAGATGCAAGACCGTTGGTCAACACACCACACAGTACTTCATTATTCAGGACTGACCTCGACGAGGCATCCACACACACACGTTTGTCGTCGAAGTCACGCCGCATTCCTCTTCATGCACGTTACACGTGAACCGACACTTACGTCCTCCTACAACCTTGTAAACTGCCGCAATAGTTCTGTGTCCTACTTTATTCCACAGGGATTATTCGACACTTCCTCTTTTATTGCATCCAAATTATCAACCAACTTAGTTTTCGAAACGTCCGGCACCGTTTTCATCCATTTTATCCATTGTATTGACCACACACCGCTGCCGTCGCAGAAATATTGAACACTCTATTCCCCCCCCACCCCCGGTGTTTTGCCATCGGGGTTGGGTTTTCGTCGCTTGGCAACGACGTTGTGAAACAAGCCGCCCCCCCCGGTGGTTGCCATCGGGATTGGGTTTTCGTCGCTTGGCAAAGACGTTGTAAACAAGCCAATTCACTTCGTGAACTCGGCAACCAGGTAACCGGGGTTTTTTTTACCTCCGGTTTTTTTTGGCGGTAACCATAATGGTGGTCGAGTAGATCATGTTGTGCGGGGTGGAGAACCCTCACTCCGCGCAAGGGGGATGATCGCACCACGTTGTGTTAAAATGGTCAAGCACCCTCGAGGCAGTTACACAGTGCTTACAACTGTCTCTGGAAGTGCAAGCACCACAAAAAAAAA